ACTGGTGGACTAAACAGAAGCATAAAAAATATTCTGGTAATTACCAATAATGTTAATTAAGGGTAGCTGTGGCATAAACCTTACACTTGATGGTGATTTGATTCATTTCTTTTAAGCACTGTAAGTTCTCTGGACTTAGAACATCACTAAGACCTGTTAGTGAAACTGCCAAATAATAGTGTAGACAAAATTTACCAAAAGATTAGTGGAAAAACAACAAGCGGACTTAACTTCTATTTTAAAAAAGGGTTAACTGTAACTTGGCAAATACAATGAAAATTAAAGACTCAGCCTCGCTGCGGTTTGAGTCACATTTCCCTAAAACTGAATAATAGAGTTCCTGGAAAGCGCACAGCCATTTTTTTGCAATCTGAGACATAAAAATCATTCTGTGTAAGTCTGCCAGGTTGTAAAATTGCAATAAAAAACTTTTTTACTTAATATTATTACAGAAGTAAGATTTATCCGAGAGTTGTTTTTTTTAACTCTGTTTATACACATGAAGTTTAAAAAATACAGTGTCTATAGAGACATTCATAGCAAAAGATTTTCAGTGCAAAACACTTCACTGTTGGTCCATTTTAAGAAATGTAATCATCTTTCTATATACATATAAATTATACTCATAATGCTGCCGTTCACAGAAGCTGAAGTTGGAGAATAACAAATAAAGGCACTATGAAGACTCTAGAAAAACAGTAAAACAGTCAAAAATGCTCTTGCGTGTGTTCCCTGCAGTCACTTTAAAGCTAATAAACATCTGTCAGTGTTAAAATGACCGAACAGCAGCGCGCTGTCCTCTTTAACCAGGCACAGCTCCCACCAGCAGCATGAAGAGTCTTCCTCTAACAATGTCCTTTCACAGGAATTTCAGTAGTTGATATGAAATTAAATGAAGTCATTATTCTACGCGATGAGTCTATGTTGCAGGAGGAGGCGGCGAATCACCTGCTGCAACCACGTAACCCTTCCCTAGAGGAAACCACGTCTGCAGGGCTTCCATCCAGCTGCTGGTGTCGCAGAAAGTCAACAAGATGTCAAACACTGCGGACACAGGAAAACTTTATTACCCAAAGCAGGTGGTAAAGCCCTTTAAGTGTCCTCTGGACAAAACAAAATATTTGCTTGCCTTGATTAACAGCCAGGATCTTTGAGTGGAAATTCTTCACGTTGTCTTTTTTCACCATGTACTCGTCTATAGGCAGCCTCGCTGTGCGGACGCTCAGCTCTCCGGCTCTGGACAGGCTCAACTTCTGCAGAGGAGAAAAAAAACCTACTGGATATAATACTTACAGTCCTACTCTATGCTGTCTGTCATAACATGTCTGTGTTATGATCAGTTTTACAGAAAAATACCTTCTGGATGCTTTCATCCACCAGACCACCGAGGACGTAAACCTTGTCAGCATCCACTGATTCCAACGCTGAAAACAAAGGAGGGAAAAAAAATACCTTAATGAATGTCAGCAAATTATATAATGTACATGAGCTCACTGGCTACTGTATTAGGTACATATTCCTAGTACTGGGTTGAACCCTCTTTTTTTTCCTTTTTAATTCTCCATGGCACAGATTCAACAAAGTGCTGGAAACATTACTCAGAGGTTTTGGTCCATATTGACGTGAGAGCATCGCACAGATGCTGCAGGTTTGTCTGCTGCACATCAACAATCTGAATCTCCTTTTCCACCACATCCCAAAGATGCTCTACTGAGATGTGGGGACTGCAGAGGTCATTTAGGTTCAGCAAACTCATGTTCAAGAAACCAGGTTGAGATGTTTTGAACTTTGTGGACGCGGCCAACAGAGGATGGCACACTGTGGTCATAAAGGGTTGGACGTGGATGGCATCAATACTCAGGCAGGCTGTGGTGATTAAATGATGCTCAGTTTGTACTAAGGGGCTCAAAGTGTGCCAAGAAAATATTTCCCACATTATTACACCATTACTGCACTGCCTTGTCTGAACAGTTACACCTTTTTAGACAAGGTAGGATGGATCCATGCATTCATATTGTTTACCCTACCATCTGAATGTTGGACACATTTTCCTGATCTTCTTTTGTCCAGTTTAGGCAAGTCTGTGTGAACTGCAGCCTCAGTTTCCTGCTCTGACAGCAGTGCTCTTCTACATAGCTTGGTTGTGACAAGTGATC